GCAAGATCATGACCTGAGCTAGGGTCAGACACTTAACTGACTGAGCCAGCCAGGCACCCCGTCAGAGACCTTCTAATGGGACCTTTTTAAGGTTCCAGAAACAAGCCTAGGGGTGTTTATTGATTGGCTCCTTTGCCCTACGACGGTGCGTCTAAGAGCAGAAAAAATTAAAGTAGGGAAAGAAATGGAAGATTTGGGATGCTAATGTTCTTGGGGTTTTAATACCGCTAAACGGAAAAAGCAGTGAAAAGGACTTTTGCTTGGAAGAGAGCTTAAGGCTAAATGTCCATCAGCTGATGAATGAGTAAAGAAATTGTGGTTTATATACACAATGGAATACTACGTGGCAATGAGAAAGAATGAAATCTGGCCCTTTGTAGCAACATGGATGGAACTGGAGAGTGTTACGCTAAGTGAAATAAGTCATACAGAGAAAGACAGATACCATATGTTTTCACTCTTATGTGGATCCTGAGAAACTTAACAGGAACCCATGGGGGAGGGGATGGAAAAAAAAGAGAGAGAGGTTAGAGTGGGAGAGAGCTAAAGCATAAGAGACTCTTAAAAACTGAGAACAAACTGAGGGTTGATGGGGGGTGGGAGGGAGGGGAGGGTGGGTGAGGGGCATTGAGGAGGGCACCTTTTGGGATGAGCACTGAGTGTTGTATGGAAACCAATTTGACAATAAATTTCATATATTTAAAAAAAAATAGAAGAGAGCTTAAGATGGTTGGTACATCAAAGGCTTCTTCTATTAGATTAGAACCTTAGATCATCCAGGATTTGATATAGCTGATTTTTTTTAAATACATGTATAAACCTTAATAGTGTCTAATAAAATTCAATTTTTACAAAACTAGAAAGTCAGGCATTGCCATTTCCTGTTTCTGTAACTACAACTTAGTATTATGAAGATCAAATCTATTTTATAGTATTTTTTTTGCCACAATTCTCAGCGAAGTAAACCCCTAAATTTCAAAGTGTTGAATGTTGCTAGCGGAATTAATATTACCACTGAACTTCCAAGGATTACTGAAATATTTAATCGAAAAATTGTAAGTTGATCTTTCCCAATTTTAGTTTCATTCTGTTTTTTTAATAAGTAGAAAGTAGTAAGAGAGACAAAAAGGTAGAGGAGGGATTTGCACCACCACTAGATAGTATAGTTTCAGGAGCCACTGGGGTTTCTATTATGCTGAAAATGCATTTATGTTCCCTTTGGCTACTGTGGGAAAACAAAGTTTTGAAATGCCTAATATGTCTAGAAGATGCATATTTCTACTGGGGTGGGGGGTGGGGGAAGGTTACTTCTCCAGTACAACCAAATGCAGCATATTTTCCCCTCTTCTATTGAAAGCATTTTTCTGTTTACAGTTGACATGATTGCTTTGTTTTAAAGTGACAAAAGATTACATAGATGACATTCAAGAAACTATTTTTTGAATGAATACGAGTAAATAAAAGTGTTTTGTAATGTATCAAAAAGCCAAGCGTAAAGCCAAAATGCCTTGGGGTAAAACAAAGTATGATTGTGCCACAACTTTTAGAAAATGTGCTTCATCTGTAAAAGCAGTATAATACAGCCACTAAATTCATGTAACAAACATGGCTAATTGTGAAAGTGTTTTTATACGGTGAATTTGTACCTTTTCTCCTTTTGTTTCTTCGTGTCATTTTGGTATGAAGAAAAGATTATACATAGTCATATATATTAATGGATTATCAGGCTGTATCACATCTGTCCAACTCACTGTTGGTCATATCTAGTGTACTGTGCAGCAAAAAACAGTGAGCCTCCCATTACAATGAATGGAAACAAAGGGCAAATGTTTCCTTGAAATATGTCACACTTACTGTTTTGTGGGGTATTCCAAATTTTACATAAATTCATACAATAACATAACGAAGTATTGACTTAAAATACATCGTGAACCTAAACCTAATGAATAAAGAAGGGCTAAGTTTTTTAAAAGTCCAGTATTAACAATCCCTTAATTTTCTCTGGTGTGGGCAGGTTGGTAATGCACGCTGGGAGAAAACCAAACAAGACTCCTGATATATCCATTTGGGTGGGTGCTACTTTCATCAGAGTGAACTGTGTAACTCAAAGGACTTCATTTTAATTCCTTTAAATCTGGAACTAAGCCCAAACAACTGTGAGAATTATGGTCTCGGGACAGAATGTAAATGCCATAACTTTTAGAATATTAAGTAAGAATGCAACAAGAATCTACAGGAGGGAGGAAGAAGCATTGGACAAACTTGCTTATTTTTCATAGAAGAATCAGTTGGTACTTGTGTATGATTGATATACAGAGTTCAAACAAATGACTCTTAGCCTCCTAAGAGTCTCCATTAATCTATTTTTATTAAGTAGGAGGAAATTTTTAGGCCACATCTTCACATTGAGGAAATACTTATCTGAAATTCAGTGATTCCATCAAGTTTACTTCCATTTCCTACTTTCCCCTCCCTGTTGAATCCAGGCTGAGCTAAATTTGTTATACTTGTAAGAACATTTACCATAAGACTCTTTTTCATAAAACTTTTAAAGTCTGTTCTTCCAACTCATGCTCAGGATGATACTCACCGATGTTAAGGATGGACACTTCTAATTGATGTGATGATTATTTTGACTTTTCTTTTTTTGGACTTTAATATATTTCTTGACTTTGTCAACACACAGTAGTTCCCCACCCCCTTATTCATGTATCTGGGAGATACATTCCCAGACGCCCCAGTAGATGCTGGAAACCAAAGATAATACCAAACCTTGTATATTCTTTTCCTATACATACACATCTGTGATACAGTTCAGTTTGTAAACTAGGCATGGTAAGAGATAAATAATAATAAAGTCGAACAATTATTATTACAATATATTTTAAAAAGTTATGTGAGGGACGCCTGGGTGGCTCAGTCGGTTAAGTATCCGACTTCAGCCCAGGTCATGATCTCGCGGTTTATGAGTTCTAGCCTCACGTTGGGCTCTGTGCTGACAGCTCAGAGCCTAGAGCCTACTTCAGATTCTGTGTCTCCCTCTCTCTCTGCCCCTGCCCCACTCACACTCTGTCTCTCTCTCTCTCTCTCTTTCTCAAAAATAAAAATACAATTAAAAAATACTTTTAAAAAAGCATGTGAATGTGGCCTGTCAAAACATATTTTCCGTACCCTTTTTTGTGATAATGTAAGATAAACTGCCTATATAATGAGATGAAGCAAGGTGAACGACACAGGCATTGGGATGTAGCGCTAGGCTACCACTGATCTGACATTGCGTCAGAATGAGGACCCTCTGCTTCCAGACCGTTTGACTGCAGAGAGCGAAGCCACAGGTAAGGGGGAACTACTGCAGTGAGTATTTGTCATTGCAATTGAAAAAGTTCAAAAAATAAGAATGGCACCTACTTTATGAGGCCCAATCTGAATGTATTTCAGCCAATGGAAACATATTTTAATAGAAGAATGAATTCAAGGAATCCTGGTGGAAATTCTGGGCACTTTATTTCAGTTAACTGATGCATTTTGGTAATAAGATGACACTGGGAAAACAAATGCAAGATTATGTCTTTGAAAGGGCCACCTGGGTGGTTCAGTCGGTTAAGCGTCTGACTTCAGCTCAGGTCATGATCTCATGGTTCGTGAGTTCAAGACCCACCTCAGGCTTTGTGCCAACAGCTCGGAACCTGGAGCCTGCTTCAGATTCTGTGTGTCCCTCATTCTCTCTGCCCCTCCCCCTCTTATGCTCTGTCTCTCTCTAAAAAATAAATAAACATTTTTAAAAAATTTTAAAGAAGATTATGTCTTGGGGCGCCTGGGTGGCTCAGTTGGTTAAGCGTCCGACTTCGGTTCAGGTCATGATCTCACAGTTCTTGAGCTCAAGTCCCACAGTTCTTGAGTTCAAGCCTGCTTCAGATTCTGTGTCTCCCTCTCTCTCTGCCCCTCCCTGCTCACTCCCTCTCTCAAAAATAAATAAACTTAAAAAAAATTAAAAAGAAGAGATTATGTCTTTGAAAAACTGACTATAGATGTTTGGTGAATAGACAATTACATGCACTAGAGTTGAATGTTTGAACTTCAAAAGCTATTGGTGACTGCTTATTTTGTTGTAAAATCAATGATCTCAGTATCCTAGTCATACAGCTTTCACGGACTTTGTATCCGTCTGTCTTTTCACATCAGGCTGTCGCAGGAGCAGGGGCCCAGTGACCACCTGAGCGAATGGACTAGAGTGACTGGGATGTCTCCAAGTAGTGAAGACATGCAAAAAAGAGGAAACCACTGCTTCCCAGCAAGAAGAATAAGAAGACAGTAAGAAGATTGATCTTACCTTCCCTTTTCAGGAGAAAGAAAAAGTGGGAGATTCAGTTTCGAATATAATCAAATGGAACAGTGGTGAGATATTTTGACAACCTACTGAGTAGTTAAAAATGAGAGTGTGACTTCAGAAATGTTGTAAACTATTGCCTAGAACACCTGAATTAGTATAGCGCTTTTAGCACATCACACTCTGAATGTGGTTTTATTTGATGAAGAAACAAAAGCAGTTCTCTATGTATCTTTCAGGATTTGTTTTATTTCCAGAGTAGAGCATGAATCCTTCTCAATCTTAGAATTGAATGCTTAGAATTTGATATACCTAGTGGGATTCTCCACTTTCCAATTTTTTTTAAAAAAATTCTACTTTTGTTCATTCTTAAATTTTTTTTTCAACGTTTTATTTATTTTTGGGACAGAGAGAGACAGAGCATGAACGGGGGAGGGGCAGAGAGAGAGGGAGACACAGAATCGGAAACAGGCTCCAGGCTCTGAGCCATCAGCCCAGAGCCTGATGCGGGGCTCAAACTCACGGACCGCGAGATCGTGACCTGGCTGAAGTCGGACGCTTAACCGACTGCGCCACCCAGGCGCCCCTACTTTTGTTCATTCTTAAGGGGACTTTCAAAGTTGTCACAGTTATGCTCTGTTAATGTTGTTTTAAACATCTTTCAGAAATAATTGCTAATAAGACTTCTGTAGCCATGGCTAGTTCTGACGCGAAACCAAAATCAGTAAGTCGTGCCAAAAAATGGTCAGAAGAGATAGAAAATCTGTACAGGTTTCAACAAGCAGGATATCGGGATGAAACTGAATATAAACAAGTGAAACAAGTTTCTACGGTAAGATTTCTAGCTAAACCTGAATTCTAAATATTTAGTGAAAAGTATTAAAATCAAACAAAGAACCAGAGAATAACTAAAAGGGAGGCCTACTCCAATTCTCTCATTTTACTGACGAGGAGATTGAGGCCCAGAGGAGTGATTTTCAGGCAGACTGGAGGCAGAGGTGGTCCCTCAGCATAGGAACATTAAGAACTTCCCACCTCTTATTGAGCAACCATGCTCCGCTAAATGAATCATTCCTGTAATCCACAAAACTAGCATCTTTTCCCCTTACTCAGGTAATTCTATTACCAGATATTCAGTTTGTTGTGTAATTATTATTTGTTTCAGGGGTTTTTTTGTTTTGTTTTGTTTTTACCACGAGTTATGAAGAGGCTAGATTCTGTTTATTATGGAGATTATAGGTGACAAAAAAACTATTTGACTCCTGACTTTGGTTGTGCATCACACTCCCACCTCAATAATGTTGTGATTGAGATAAAATCAGATTTAAGAGAACACGAAGAACATCCTTGAAGGGGAAGTCCCACAAAGTGAGAGGGGGATGTGTGATGTAGGGAAGAACACACCTATTCACTGTGTGACTTGCCAATTTTGAAGAGGTCTTGCATTTCACTTTAGTATATATTTATTGCATACAAACTGTCGGGAAGGAGAACATTTCACCCGGATCCTCTTTGTTCTTTTCGCTGGTCTAATCATTAAATTGACACAAGACAGATTAACAGGAGAAAAATAAATTTCATCTAATTTCATACGTATGAGGGCCCCAGAGATATGAGACCCAAAAAGTGACCAAAGCAGGCTGTTTATATACCTTTTAAGACAAAGAATTGATAAATACGTGGAGAACTAACAAGACAAAGTAACGGGCTTGAGTACTGATTAGTGGGGAAACTAAGCCGAATTTGTTTACATTGCCCTGTTGGCCCTGAATTCTCTGTCTGTCGGGATAAGGAGGCCTGTCTACCTCCGGGTGCAGGGAGGGTAGCTGTCACACGGAGATTTCTTCCTGCTTTCAGAGAGACAGAGAGGAGACTCAGAGTGTCCTTCGTGCACCGGTTGTGATTTTAACTCAAAACAATCAGATGCCAAAGTGGCACGTTCTGGCGCGGCATGTCACTACCATGTGCAGATTTCTGTGCCAGCTGCTTTAGGAAATAACAATAGAAGTGAGCACCCGACCTTAAGAAATGGAGTCGGCTAGTAGGAAGAGAACCAGATTTGGAATCTATCTGTCCAGGGTCTGCATCCGGGCTCTATGTCTCATAAGCCGGGTAATCCTGAACAAGGTTCTTAACTTGGCTGAGCTCAACAGTAGAATGGTGACGGCAGGGCCCTCTTTAGGAAACAGTCGCAGGTATTAAATGAAATCGTGTGTTTGAAGTGCCTGACATTGTAGGGCTTAATAATTTGTTGAGTGAATGAATGCTAAGTGTTTAATGAATTACGGCTTTTATTATTCTTATTATCTTGGAGTCGAAGATTAAAAATGATAAGAACAGTCAAACTTTATGCAAGTCAAAATATGCATACCTTTAAAAAGGAAGCACAAGAATTTCGAGGAAGACAAAATCGCTTCCTTTGGGGGACAATCCTCCAAAATGGTTCCATGTCCCTAGAGACATCTGCAGAAGACCTTGAAGGTCGGACAGGATGGTAACTGAAGGCTTGCCTCGATTGGCATGTCTCTACCAGCATACGGAGGTCTGAAGAATTTGAGCAGAGTTCTCTTTCCTCACCTGAAGCACATGTCCTTTTGGGACACATACGTTATTAGAGCTTATTGACCTCCCTAGCTAGTCCTGAGGACCATGCCACTCTGTTCTAGTCACAAAAGTGAAGCTTTCCTAGGCTGAATGGGAATCATCAGGGCCAAGAAGAAAAAATTTATAAAATACCAAAGGAGTATTTAAAATGACTAGAGGTTGATGAGCACAGAACCAGCACAGCTGTTTGGAGGCTCATCCCATATACAGTGGCTATTTCTTAACTGAATGAGATGGTTTTGGGGAACCTAGTAAGTGAAACATAACCTGCTCCTGGCCCCAAGAGGAAGAGAGTTATAATGACATCTTGAGAACACCCTCCTTTCTCTGCTGGGGACAATGGAGGCTATGAAAAACAAGCTTTACCTAGTAATAGGAAGCATTGATTTTTTCCCTATATTGTATGTCAGAAAGTCCGCCAAGGTTTATCAGCTATGCTGCTACCTATTTTTGCTAATTCTTAAATAAATGAGACAACAGAAGAAAATGAAAATGCACAACTAGAAAATAAAGACAGGCATTCCTTTGTATTCATGATGTTTTCCTATTCCAATGGAAACATGTGACTTATGGGTGGGGCCAATGAGAAGTGATGAGCTGCCTGTAGAGATGGCGATGAAGAAGAGGGTTTGATAATCTAAACCACAACGCCTGAATAATCAGGTTTTGACAATGATAGAGTAGATCTTACAGAATCCAGAAGAAACATACAAACAATGACCGCAATGCACTGACCCGATCGAGAAAGCAGAATACGAATTTGGAGAGGAAGCGGAGAAAGATGTCCCAATTAGGTCAAGCCAAATGATAAAGTAAGCAAGCCAATATGGCATCTGAGAAAGAATAGGGGGGAGGGGCGGTAAGAAAGGTGAAAATCAAAATCATGACCTCAAATTTCTATTAAAAAATGGGTTTCAAGCTGAACTTGTGAGGTGGACGTGAGGAATGCATATGCACCCTGCGGTACAAGAATCTGGCTGCTTCCATTCGACATTGCTGTGCTGTCAATGTCCAGCACCAGAGTGGAGCCTGAGCCTAATCTCCTCCTCAGGCATTACTTTTAGAAGTCAGGACGTAGTACTGTCCGAGATAACTTGTAAACCTAAGAAAAATAAAGTTTAGAGTATTTTGAATGTTTCATCTTGGCACTGAGTAGAAATTTAAATCTAGAAATTGGGATCTAGAGAGAAGCACCCGATTAGTTGTTTTGCAGTAAAGGGATGCAACTTATGATGTGTCTGAGGTGTGTATAATACTGTCTTGAGAAATCAAGTATTTTTAGATTTAACTTTATGCTTTAACTCTTGGAGGTGAATTATACTGCTAACTATTTGACAGTAAAATACTGTATCAAAATAAAGCCAGCGTCACAGTGTTTGTCTTCTGGTTTCTGTTGTGCAGGTAGATCGCTGGCCAGAGACCGGATACGTGAAGAAACTTCAGAGAAGGGACAATACTTTCTATTACTACAACAAACAGAGGGAATGCAATGACAAGGAAGTCCACAAAGTGAAAATTTATGCTTACTAGCCTTTGTTCTCTGTGTTACTCGTCCCTACTTTTTAAGAATTCATTGTTCCGTTCTACATCATGTAAATGTCATTTCACAAAATAATTCAAAATGCAGACTTCAGTCGAATGTTTTGAAACACAAAAGCCATGAAACCTGGTATCAATCATCCTGTTCTATTCCAAAATATAACTGCAGGAACATTAAAATTGTGCCTGTCTTGGTCCTGTTCTTCCAACTATCTTAACTGAGGAAGAGTCACCATTATGCACAGAAAAAGCCAGCCCCATTCGAAACCACTCCAGTGCCTCCATGTTAATATGTTAATGTACTCCACAGTCCCCCCCCACCCCCCGCCTTTACCACTGGCCAAGACCACTCCTTTGAATTTTCAGATCTGCTTATTGTGGCCTGAAGGCTTTCTCTTGTCTCTGGAGTCCTTTGCATCTTGCTAAGTAGACTGGAAATGCCCTGGGAGCAGCCCTCAACCAATGACTGATGGGGAGGCGGTGCATAAGAGCCCCAGCCACCAGGTACCTCAGAGGAACCCATCTGAGGGGTGTGTTTTACACCAGCACCCAGCCTCCCAGCAGGACAAAGCTTCGGGTCGCAGGCAGCAATGTCTGACTGTCTCACATAGTCTATTGGCGGTTTCCCTTCCTTCCTGCTCCCCACACCGCCTGCCAGGGGTTCCTTTCCTCCTGAATCAGCTGCTTGTACCTGGAGCCTCGTCCTAGGGTCGGCTTCTGGGTTCCCAATCTAGACATCTTCTGTTTGTTTGGGTTTTTTTTAATTTTTAATTTAAATTCTAATTAGTTAACGTACGGTGCAATATTGGTTTCAGAAGTAGAGTGCAGTGATTCATCGCTGACAGACAACAGTCAGTGCTCATCGTAACAAGTGTCCTCCTTAATGACCATCATCCATCTAGCCCAGTCTCTAGCCCCATCTCCCTCCCTCCATCAGTCCTCAGTTTGCTCTCTATTGTGAAGAGTCTCTTATGGTTTGTTTCCCTCTCTTTTTTCCTTTTTTCCTTTTTCCCAAATGTTCATCTGTTTTGTTTCTTAAGTTCCACATGTAAGTGAAATCATATGGTATGTGTCTTTCTCTACTTACTTCACGTAGCATAATACACCGTAGCTCCATCCACATCACTGCAAATGGCAAGATTTCATTTTTTTTAGAAAGCGAGAGAGGGCGTAAGCAGAGGAGAGAGGCAGAGTGGGGAGAGGGAGGGAGGGAGGGAGAGAGAGAGAGAGAGAGAGAGAGAGAGAGAGAATCTTAAGCAGGCTTCGTGCTCAGTGAAGAATCCAATGTGGGGCTCGATCTCATGACTGTGAGATCATGACCCAAGCCAAAATCAAGAGTCAAACACTTAAACACTTAACTGACTGAGCCACCCAGGTGCCCCTTGATTTCTTTTTGGTGGCTGAGTAATATTCCATTGTGTGTGTGTGTGTGCATATACATATATATGTATAAAATATGTGTGTGTGTGCATATACATATATATGTATAAAATATATATACATTATATATATATAATTTTTTAAGATACAGAAGCCCAGAGGGGCCATGTGATTTCCTCCAGTGTGCTTAATTTAATTTTATTTTTTTTTTATGTTTATTTATTTTTGAAAGACAGAGGATGAGCATGGGAGGGGCAGAGATAGAGAGAGAGGGAGACACAGAATCCAAAGCAGGCTCCAGGCTCTAAGCTGTCTGCACAGAGCCCAACTTGGGGCTTGAACTCATGAACCACGAGATCATGACCTGAGCCGAAGTGGGATACTTAACCAGCTGAGCCCCCCAGGCACCCCTCACCCTCTGAAGGGTGAGCTCTCTGAGAGTAAGGCTTTGCTTTCTCCCCTGCTGGATTCCACAGAGTACAGAATACGGGGTCTGACAGGCTCCATACAGACTGTTCTCAAATGAGGGAACTGACTGCCGGCTCCACACACATCCTCCTCCCTGCTTTGGGCCCCCACTTCTCTGTCTGGCACCCCCTGACCGTCCCCATCAGCTTGCAGAAGAGGGGCTGGGACCCCTCCATGACTTGGCCCCCTAAACAGGCTCTCAGCAAGAAAAGCGGTCATCAGGAGCCACCTGCCACGTCCTGCAGCACGTCAGATGCCCGTTGGTGCCTCCTCCCCGCAAGTCCTGGGGACCCTCGTGCCCCCTTGTCACGGGGAAGAGTTTAGAGCCGGCAGGAGAAGCGTCTCCTACCCTTCCCAGATCAGGGGATTTCTCCTGCCTCCAGCTCCTACATTTTGCTTTGAATTGCCTCCCTCTGGTCTGGGTTTTATCCTACTGTCTTGACCCCAGATCCTTTCCTCTCTGCAGGGATGACTCTTTTGGATGGTGTGTCGGGCTCTTTAATTCAGAGTGTCTTTTCCCCCAGAGATACTGTTCCTCCCATTGCCCCATGGCCCGTGCGCAGCCTGAAGACTGAGGTCGCCCGAATTCCCAAGCATTGGCAGCTTCCAGGAGACCATGACCGAGCGCGGGCTTGCTCCTTGAGGGCGAGACTGGATACCAAGCCCATGGTGCGTAACGTGGGGGTGCTGCTAAAGAGATGGAAAACACTGGTAGACCCTTGTGATGGCTAATTTTATGTGTCAACTTGCCTGGGCCACGAGATGCCCAGATATTTGGTCAAATATTATTTGGGGCATGTCTGGGAGGGTGTTTTTGGATGAGACTAACATTTGAAATGGTAGAATGAGTCAAGTAGATCACTCTCCCGAATGCGGGTGGGCCTCATCCTATCAGTTGAAGGTCTAAAAAGAACAAAAAGGCACTCCCTCCCCTTTCCCTGTGAGTAAGGGGGAACTCTTGTTTCACTAGGCACATGGGTCTTTGTCTTTGAGTTGGAACCACACCATAGGCTCTCCTGGGTGTTCAGATTGCCAACTGCTAATCTTGGCACCTGCCAGCCACCATAAACACCCGACCAATTCCTTATAGGAAATTCCTTATATCTCCCAATGATTGTATCTCTGGAGAACCCTGCCTAATATGACCTTCCCACCCAGAACCCACAATCCAGTTCAGAAGGTAACAAATACACGATGAAGTGAGTCACAGCCCAGCAGCACATTAGATACCAAAACATGGATAAAAAAAAGATGAATTCCATAGACTGGTGACATTAGGGGAAGCTTTTGGGAAGTTTGGGCATGACCCTTGAAGGACAAATCTGAGCGGAACAGAGCCTAGTCACAGGTACAGAGTTTCCCGGGCCTCACCAAGAAAGCCTCACAATGGGTTGGGTGGCACCTTGGAGGGAAGCAATAATGGCTTTTTGATGTTTGTGTCCAGTGCCCAGCACAATGCCTGACACAGGGTAAGTGCTCACTAAATGTTTGCTGAATGAATCAAGGAACGAAGATATTGGGACAGCTGCCATATTGAGAGCTGCCACGGATAAATTTAGACTGACAAAAGACTGTAAAGGGACGTCGAAGAGGGTACTTATCTATAGGAAAACGTTCAATCAGATTGCACAGCAGTGGTAGCAGTGGTAATATATATAAAAAAAAGTAGTATCTAAGACAGACAGACCCAGCTTTCTGGGTCAAAGGCCGCTCTAGCAGGCATTCAGCCGTTGATGGTAACAGCTGAGGAGCAGAGGGTCACCATTGAATTTCTAAAAGTGTCAATGCCTCCTTCTGTCTCCAACCTGATTCTTCTGGAGCATTTCTGCACGTAGCTTTTAGGTAGTGCTGGCAACCCTCTCTCCTGGGCCACATGTCCATCGTCCATCCCGGGGTCTCGCACATCCACACAACCTCAGCCCTGCCCAAGGTCATTACTGAATTCGGTGCGGAGACCAAGCTCCCTTCCTTCTATGGCATCTTTTGGTGTTGAGCTAATGAGCACTCAGGATTTCACCTGCAGTATGAAGTCACCCCATAGCTTTATCAAGGGCACAAGAACAATTTTAAAGACAAACAGAAAGGATCTTGGAGCATCTTCCTATGGTTTAGTTATAGAAAAGCCTCCTCATGATAATCTTACTTGAAGAGGAATCAAGAACAAGGCTGCGTTCTTTTGCTTTGGGATGAGTGGCTCTTCAGAGACGTGTCAATACGTCATCTGAATGTTACCTCAAGTGTGTTTCCTCTTCCCTGTGGGGGACGCACATCTGAGTGCCTGAGGGGCAATTTGGATTCTGTTATCTTCCTTGCTCCCTCCAGTCCTACTGACTGTCCCTGGAGAGGACATCTCCCCAAGCCTTCCACAGCCTCCGTCCTCCCTGCCGCCACGCCCCTCCCTTCCAGAGGACTACAAGAGGTCTACTCTGGTTGGCCAACCTCCACTCCACTCAGCCAGAGTGCGAAACTGAAACGTGACTCGTTTACAAGACTCTTCAGAAGTTCCCTATCATTCTCAAGATGAGGCTCAATGGCCACCGGATGTCTCCCATGGCCCTTCATGACCTTGTCGCTGTTTATTCCCTGGGCCTCTTCTTGGAGAAGCTCCCACCTCCACACCTGACTAACCTTTTTGCACATTCTTACGGCACCCAACTTTCTCTCACCAACCAGCTTTCTCCCCGCCTGCCTGCCACTTCCCCCACCAGCCACCCCAAAGCTTGTTCTGGCTGGCTCTCTCTCTCCTTGCTCTGCTGACCGTGGCCTCCCTTCAGGAGAAGCCCGTCCTCGCTTTCTTCACTCCCCTGAATCCGAGTTAGGCGCCCTCCCCTGACATGTTCTTACAGCATTTTTATTTAGGCACTCATCATGCTCTGTCATACAAGTCTGTTTTCTTATCCAGCCTGCCCACCCCCTTCCCAGGCAAGACTGTGAACTCATGGAGGCAGAAACCTACAAGGGTCTGTCTTGGCATCTCTTAGCACTGTAGTTCTAGAATGAATGGATGGATGGACAAATGGATGAAAAATACCTTCTACTAATGACTAACAAAATAGAATTCTATTATTAGAACTTTAACAGAGCCCGATGATATAAAGGTAGGAATCATTTATTACCAGAATAAACTGGGAAATACTGGGTAC